CCGGGGGGGGGGGGGGGGGGAGAGGGGCTTGTGGGAGGAACAGAGCTCTTCTGCCTCCAGCTAGCTGAGTAGAAATGGGGCACTTGACCCCATATCCCCTTCCCCAATGTGTCACCTGTGACATTTATCAGTTAATAAGAAGTCACCAGATGATGTTCCCACTGTTATTTTCTTTTGTTCACTCTATTTTGATTTGTTGAGCTAGTTCAGTTTAATCTGCTTTTAATTTGTAATGACCATTAGGCAGTTTCTGCCTCCAGCTAGCTGAGTAGAAATGGGGCACTTGACCCCATATCCCCTTCCCCAATGTGTCACCTGTGACATTTATCAGTTAATAAGAAGTCACCAGATGATGTTCCCACTGTTATTTTCTTTTGTTCACTCTATTTTGATTTGTTGAGCTAGTTCAGTTTAATCTGCTTTTAATTTGTAATGACCATTAGGCAGTTTCTTTTGTTGCTGTTATCCCATGCCAGTAAATATGGAGGCAGGCATCATGAGACAGTTATGAAACCCATGTGAAAGTTTCTCAAATTGGATGGTGATCATATCTCTGGTGATTATTGAAATATTATTCTAATCTACAACTGTATAGACCACTTATTGTATAATAGTTAACAGAGGGGTGTCAGACTAAATTGTGGAAGAGATTAATGCTTTGCTTAATTAATGTCTGGGGCTTATAATTCAGGGATTATATGCCTCCACAATGCATAGTGGAATACCTGCTGCTTTCAGCAATAGGTTCAAACAACAGTCAGGAAGAGAATATGGGCTGAATGTAATGTCTAAAGTTAGCTCTTACTGATTCAGTGCCGTACTGTAACATTCAACACTAAGGGTATGTCTAGACTACATGCCTCTGTCGCCAGAGGCATGTAGATTAGGCTACCAGACATTGTAAAATGAAGCGGCGATTTAAATAATCGCTGCTTCATTTAAATTTACATGGCTGCCGTGCTGAGCCAACAAACAGCTGATCAGCTGTTTGTCGGCTCAGTGCGATAGTCTGGACGCGCGGGTGTCGACATCAAAGGTATTTGTCGACCACCCAGGTAAGCCTCCTGGGATGAGGTTTACCTGATGGCTGCCGTGCTGAGCCGACAAACAGCTAATCAGCTGTTTGTCGGCTCAGCGGGCAGCCATGTAAATTTAAATGAAGCGGCGATTATTTAAATCGCCGCTTCACTTTACTATGTCTGGTAGCCTAATCTACATGCCTCTGGCGACAGAGGCATGTAGTCTAGACGTACCCTTAGTAAAAAAGTCAGCCACTATTCCTGCTCTTTGTTTGAGAGTCTCCTCTGTTCTTTCTTCTGCATTTCCTTCCCTGTAGCAAGTACCAATTCCCAAACCCAGTGGTCTCTACTCCCATTATGCCCTGGATGAAGAAAATGATGAGTGATTAAATAACTAATGTTCGGAGGAAAATTTTGTCATTGGGCTCTGAAGGTGGCGCTCCTGTTGGATTAACAGGGGACAGCACAGTTTGTGCTGAATCATTTACATACCATTCCCATTTGGAAGGTTCTAGCCCTCATAGCTGCACAGAGAATTTATTTTATAGAAAGCTTAGATCAGGGCTACTCAACTTTGGAAGTCCCGGGGGCCACAGTGATACTCATAGCACATGCCGAGGGCTGCAACTTAAGTGTGGATGCATATACATGCAAATATATAAGCAAATAGCTTCTTTCACACTGACGGGCATGAATATAAAGATTAAGGCAAGACTACACAACACACAGGTCCCATTTAAGTCAGTTCTGCTGATATTAATAAAATGCAATATGTACCCGATTTCCACCCATACGACAGCACTTTTAATGAGCAATGACAGTCCAGAAATTTAACTACTAAAATGCATATCAACAGCAGACCACTATATTGACTACTTTTTTGTTTTGGCTCCCACTCGCGGGCTGTGTGTTGAGCCTCAAGTAAATCCAAACTGCACCATGGGCCACAATCAAATGGGCTGCAGGCCACATGCAGACCACAGGCCGCATGTTGAGTAGCACTGGCTCAGAATATGGGCAAACTGAATATGCCCAGCAAGTCCCCTTTTATTATGCAAGCCAAACATTTCACAGCCTGAGGTTAAAACAAAAGAAGTCAGGGAGAAGATGAGGTTTTAATTTAATTGAACCAGTGAGTATGCAGCTTGGTACAAATCACCTCTTCACTTGTCTACGTTGCTGTTCATTCAGCAGCGCCTAATTGAAAACCAGCTTCTGTGTCAAAGTGGCTCTTTCCTGAGCTAATAAAGAAGTGATTGGGCAGACAAAACATTTTTAAATCTCCTCTTCAGATCTCTTAAAATGTCCATTGAACAGGGAGAAATTGCAAAAGCAAAACATACACACACATACATGAAAGATCACATTCAAAATTTGCTTGACTCTTCCTTTGAAAAACACAGTACCAATAAAAAGGATCATGCATCTCTACAGGCATCATAAACCAAGTCTGTGTATTCAGTATTCAGTATTTTCCCTGTATACTTTCCAAGTCAGAATTGTTACAAAACTTTTTTTGCCTCCCCCCACTTAATCTCAGTACTCTAATCTGTGTTAAGCAAATATAAGATTATAAAGAAAAGATAGTATTCATGTGAGTTACTCTCCCTACCTAAATCCACCAAAGTCTCTATTTTAAAATAAACTTTACATTTCTTGCAATCGGTTCTTGTGTTTGTTTACTTTGACAGCCAGATAGGCGTTCTGGAGAATGGTGTGAAGCGCTTCATGATTTTACAGCAGAAACAAATGAAGACTTATCCTTTAAAAAGGGAGACTACATCCGGATATTGGAGCATGTGGACTCTGAGTGGTACAGAGGGAGGCTGAATGATAGTGAAGGCATTTTCCCAGCAGTTTTTGTTCAGACATGCTCTGGTACAGTATTCCTAGTGGAAGGCAAATTCTCATTTCTGAACCCAAATACCTAGTAACAGATGCATTTATATGAAGTGCTCACAGTGATGAATGGTTCCTAGAGTGATGTAATTAGCTAAGTATAATATCTATAACTCTAAGCAGTACTGCAGCTGAAGATGTACTCTTAGAAATGAGGCATTTGCTCTAATTTTTAGTTTGCATTTGAAACTAATCTTTTGTATTATTAAACATTGTCCAGGTTAATTAGGGCTTTGAATGTTTAATGTTCCCTGTATTGTAAAGTAATACCAACATCTGAGTGTAAAGCCAGGTTAGTTCTGGCCTGAACTTTATCATAATTGAAAACACCATTGTTTTCAAATGATAATCTACAGTTACAGTTGTTTAATGCTATCTTCCAGTAGGGTTTCACAAATGTAACTGAAGGCACTGAGCCAGGTTGTCAGCTGGCATGAATCAGTGTAGTTCTATTGAAGATTTGGCTATAATTTGTGGACAGTAGATTTGTATTGATGGCCCCATCCAAAAATCTAACTTACTTTATTTTCCTTAATTAAAGAAATATGAGAGAGAAACCAGTTTAGTTGACTCTAAGAATAGTGTTAGTTCTCTCTGGTTAACAGCAGCAAAAAAAGTAACATTTTATTTTCATTAAATTAATAGCTATGACTGAACATAGTTTAAGTTGAATACTGTTACCTACTACTCCATTAGAGTATACATTACATCTGGGCAGTTATTTTTAATCAAGGTCAAGACTCCAGAGAAAATAGCAATTATCATAATAAGATTTCAGGGTCCATTCAAAAATATTTAACAGTCCATATTTGGCCAGCAGTCTACCTGTTGACTACCTCTGCATTACATTTTAAACAGGCTGTGCTTCCAGTTAGGAAGAAAAAGTCTAGTTCGTTAGAATACTTCCCGTTAATAAGAAGGATTGGGTAAGGTAAACAGTGAGACAGACTGACTCAGTCTCTGAAATCCTCTCCCTGTGAAATGAACTCATGTCTAGGCAGGGTGGTGTTACACAGGGACAATCTGTCTGAATGACTATTGAGCAGATTTAAAGTGAAAGATATTTATAATGGTACATGTTCATTTATCAGTACAGTTATTATATTAACGTGATCCATGCAGTTAAACCAATGCATAGCATTTACTTCAAGTGTATTCCACATTATCTATCAATAGTGCCCTATCTGTGAATGCAGAGAGAAGGAATCAAAGCACTAAAAAGTTACTTTTTGTTCTGGAATTCTCTTTAATTTTTTAAAATATTTTTCCTTTTTTTAATATCTATATTTTAAGCAAGTGTTTTGTAATCACCTATGTTTGTGCTCCACAGCTAGAGTAAAGACTTCACAATCTCCAGCAAGGACGAAAGGAAAAGCCAAGGCTTTGTATGACTTCCAGGGAGAGAATGAGGATGAACTCTCCTTCAAGGTAAATATCTGAAGTCAGTGCTATTGCCTCACAAATTTCAAGACTTAGAGCAGCACAGTATTGATGGAGCAGACTGAGGGTATGTCTACACAGCACTGTTATTTCGGACTAACTGATGTCATTTTGAAATAACCCAAGTGCTCATCTACACAGCAAGTCTGTTATTTTGAAATAATTTCGAGATATGGACTTCTTACTCCAACTTCTGTAACCCTCATTTCATGAAGCGTAAGGGAAGTTGGAGAAGAGTGTTCTTCCTTCGACTTCCTGCTTTGTACACAGAGCCAAAAGCTGAATTAAGATATTTTAACTTCAGCTAAACAATTGCGGTAGCTGAAGTTGCATAGCTTAATTTGACTTTTGTCCTGCTGTGTAGACATGCCCTAATAATCTAGATAAAGTCTAGGTCAAGAAACAGGACTGGAAAGAGAGAAAAAACAGCTAGAAACGGTTAACTTTTTCTGCTCTGGAAATAAGGCCAAATCCTTAGTAACTTAGAGCAGGAAAGTGAACTCTGCTGATCCTGTGCCTATCCTGTGTCAATCCATGGCATAAATTAGAGCAAGTTATCAATCAATCAGCCCCAAAGGGTTGAAACAACAGCTCTGTGAACCCATGAAGGATAGGGAAAAGTCAAGCCATGCTATCTATACTACTATGGCAGCAGTAGGGAGGTTTGCACAGGAGCTGTTTCAGTTAATCTCTACTACAGGAAGATTCCCTTTGCACTGGGCTGATCCTTCTTTGGCCAAGAGTTTATTTACTGAAAATGAATCAGTTGTTTCAGTACATTTGCAATACATGGACTGATCATAATGTGTCTGTTCTCAAAGGGAAAAGTTGTAACTCTGCGTGAAATAGAAGGGCTATTTTACAGTACCTTCCAGCATTGTACCTGACATTATGAGGATCTATCACTTAATCAAACTAGGATTTGCTCCTAGACCTATGTCTGCTAACTTTCTGGACAGATTCCCAGGTGTTCCTTGTAAGCTGTGTGCTTGTACAGCCACTCAGGAGAGATTCAAATGTTGCCCAGCAGATTAGCAGAGTGCCTACACCTAGGTTTTTTGTTTCTATTGGTGGTGCACATACCTCAGTACACATACAATATTTATTTCACACAGGGATGGTAAACATTAAAGGGAACATTGATCCCCAGTAAACTTTTTGAACAGGGTAAGGATAAATAGTAGCAACCATCAGAAGTTCCAGATCTATGTGTGGTCCTCTGTTTATGTAGATGCTTTTGTCTTTTCTATAACCTTATTGTGACTTCAATCATGGTACAACTGGTCTGAAATGGAAAAAAAAAGAAAAAAAAGCCCTCAAGAACAAAGTCAGATCATAGTTTTACTTTGTCAAACTGATCCTGCTACCTTTTCACATGTCTTGGGAAAAGATAAAATGAAGTTTTCTGACCAAATGCACTCATTTTCAGTTTTATCAGCAACTAGAGATCTGATCAAATAAGGCACCATAGAATTTATCCCACTGTGCCTAGGAAGCAGAGAACAGGATAAAATGTAGATATATAACGGTAATAGCAGTAGCACCTACACCCAATGGTGGTAGGCCCTTTCAAATATATTTAGTACAGTGTGTGTTTGGGTTCCTGCACAGTTTTCACAGAACAGCATGAAGTTGTGACATAGAAAAATGAAATGATCTTGTGCTTGCTGGGCGATCAGACTGCCTTTTGAAGAGGTAAGGATGTTAGGAAGAAGCAGTGGTTCGATAGTATATTAGAACCAATGACCTAGATACTGAGGGAACTTAAAACTTTAAAGTTAGTAAGAACTGCATAGATTCAAAGCAAGATGAGATGAATAGTAAGTAATCTCAAAAATACTACCTTTTACTGTACCTAAAGCAGAACATATGTGAGCCCTTGGGTTTTATGTTCATGTGAGACTACAGAAGCAGAGTGTCCTATGACAAAAGCAGAACCCACGTACTGGAAGAAGGGACAAGACTGGGAGAATATTTTTAGATGAAGCATTGGGCACAACAAAATGAAAATAGGAACAAGAAATAGCAGTCTACTGCAGACTGTTGTTTATTGGGTTGTTGTAGATATAGATCTTGTTGTTGTTATAGTAACTGAATTAGGTCATGAGGTGTCAGCCATGCCAGTTTGGGCTGGTTCTAGTTAATTCTGTGTAACAGAATAAATGGACACTTGCAACTGCTCAAGCTTTCTCTGTTTCTAGTTATTTCTTTCTAAACTCTGTAACTCCAAATGATATAACACTGGCAACTTGTTAAACTACTTATAGACCATTATGCTCCACTTTTTGGAAACATGGCATGAGAAAAACCTCAAGAAGTGAGTGCCTAGAATGGATAACAAGAACAATGGGAATAAGACCCTTAGCGTGTAGCTAAGAGCTGAAAAAGAATTGCTTACTAAAGGGAAAAAAATAGTTATACTTCCCTGTCTCATAATGTCAAAGAAGTTTAAGTAGAACATCAATCAACATGTACTCTGTGTACACTCCAAAACTCAAGGGTCTAGATCCAAAAAGAAACTTAGTCATTTAAATGTAACTTTAAGCACCTGCATCAAAACTCTGAAGATTTTAGATTTTCAAAATCTCTGCTCTGCTGCTGTAACCTGTTTCCTGGCACCTAAATTTCCAGTGATTAAAAATTCAAGAAGTGCCTAAAAATCCCCTGCTGGCTTGTATGCAGCTGCTTCAGTCCAGGCACTTGGCTCATGCCTAACCCCAGTGGGATCCTCCAGCAAGGCATTGCCCCACTTACTTTGCCTAAAGGGCCCAAAATTGTAGACATGCTTAAGAGCCTAGCCTGATTTGGAGCCTGAATTTAAACCTGCTTCTCCCATTTTTCACAGTATCCTAATTTAGGCTCCCTCAAACCTGTTTTACATTGAATAAATGTCAAGTTATCAAGAGATGCTAAGATTCATTTTGCTTTTCTCTACATAAATCAAAGCTTTATGAAAGTGAATTTGTTACTGTTTCTCTCTCTAATCATATATCAAGTATATATGAGCAGAAAAGATTCATCATTGCTCATTTTCTTACAGGCAGGTGATATAATAACAGAATTGGATTCTGTCGATGAAGACTGGATGAGTGGAGAAGTACAAGGCAAATCTGGAATATTTCCCAAGAACTTTGTTTGGGTTCTGTAGGCAACATAAGAATGGAGCCTAGTTCTTCTCAGTAGACTTATGGAAGAAAACACCCAGCACAAAAGCACATTATACTTAAGCAGAACAAAGAACTATCATCTTCATTGTTACTTAATGTTTGACTGCCAAATATGATTTGCACTATATTCTGTAGAAAGAGAACCACAATCTCCTATATAAATGTCTTGAAGTACAAGAATTTGCCATGCCACCAAAACTTAATCATATTTTCTGAATGTTCCACATCAGCTAACCAACAGAATTTCCACAGGAGTTTTTCAGTTTCCAGCTAGGAAATTAAATGAGATGCAATATCTTACAAGTGAACTGCATTTTAGTAGTTGACACAACCTGATATTTCATTTATCCTGTACACAATTTGCATAAATTAAGCTTGTTTAGAAATGCATTTGCTTTTCAGATTCAAGTATTATATGTTAAATATGTATATCACATTTTTGATCTTCAGATTTACTACTGCTTGAGTAACTGTCCTCATTAAACAGTAGAAAGTAGTCAGATAAAGGATCGAGAGGATAAAGGTAGAATTATCTCATGGGAAAATGTCAAGCCCTAACGTATGTTAGGCACTTTGTAGAGTTTGCCATTTAATGTATGGGATATCCTGTCAGAAACCAAACCCTTAACAAGCAGGAGGATCAAAAGGTAAAGAAAACTTAATAGTTTATCAATCCTTAAACATAGGGCTGAGTGAACTTGTGAAGTTCAAGATTTTTGCCGTAGTAGAGCTCACAAAACTGGAGAGGGTTCATCAGTCTTCTTTTAATGAAGTGTGTTAATTCAGAAAGAAGCAGATACTGTGAGAAATTCACCTAGTAAGCACAAAGACTTGTTTTAAACAACAATGAAAATTATACAAATTAAATTACATAGACTACATTCGTATAATATTCAACATATTTTCAGATGAGAATAGTGCATTCAAGAAACTAGCACAATCCAGCTAATCGTTACCCCACCTACCATTCTGGGCTGATACATAATATAAAAACCAAACATTTATTCTTCATTATATTACAGTTTGTTCTCCACATGTTCAGTGGTACCCTATTCCACCTGCACAACTGACCTTTTGTACTCTCTGAAGAAAAGGCAACTGAGCAAACTGTGTGGTATATTATGTCAAAGGACTAACATGTGCAGACAATCTCTTTAATTGGACAGCAAATGAAAATCACAGGCTTTTCAGAATCTCTCTGTAGCAGGGCATAATAAAAAGCCTAGCATAGGTTAGAAGTCAGAGCAGCAGGGTACTGGTTGAGCATTGATAATTTAAAGTTTGGAGATGAGGGAACTCTTTTTAGCAAGTTCCATCTTTGCTATCTTGATTTAATTTTGAAATCTGAAACCAGCCTCTTTACTGCTCTCTTATCCTATGAAGATGCTTTTCCCCTGGGTTTATAGAAGAAATAAGCAGATCATATTGCTAGAGATTAATATAAAAATCCTGATAAACTACAATAGATGCTAGCACTCAAAAACTTGTCTTAGTCTACTAAAAATTTATAAAAGGATGTTTTTATTTTATGCACCCAAAAATGAATTGTAACATCACTTAACAATGATTAACCTGTATGCACCCTTCATTGGAAACGTCTTCATCCATAACACTTGAAAAAGAAACTTGTGTGGCCTTTATAATATGGGTCTCTTGTCGAGAGTTTAAGCAAAAGGGACTCCCTTTCACCATGGTCCTTTGTCCTGTAAATATTTTAAATAGTAAAACTAATAGATAAAGAATATTAAAAAAAAAAAAAAAACAACAAAACCCTCTCAATATATTTCCTCCAGAAGAGATAACTAAATGATTGGAGGAGCAGATAAGGTATTAGTGTGCAATGTTTACTTACTGTTGATTTAGGACTTGTCTACATGGTGAGGTAATGAACTCCATAGTGCACTTCAGAAATCAAATCCCTTAGGTGCTGCGCATTAATTGGTTTATGTGTACGACATTACTGGGATCTTTAACATTCTGCTGTTTGAAACAGAGCTCCATTTAACCATACTTAGTGAATCTTTAGTGTGCATCAACAGATATAATACAGCGTATACATAACATTAATATTCCCATGTTAACATGCTTTAGAAATCACACTCCCTCATAGCTCACATTAACTTGCTGTGTAAACAGTCCTCTAATTGTCAGTTCTTTAAAGCTTTGATACAAATATTTTTGAAAAAATAGTGCTGAATTTATAGATATACACAAAAAAGGGGTATGTGAAAAGATTTGGCTATATTGGCATATTAACAATTTTATCCTTTTAATTAAATGAATGACATCCATTTCATTTCATCCTTTAAACATCTATTTAATTGAATACCCCTTGTATTTTATTGTGCAACTCCAATACTAAATCAGGAAATATAGTGAGCATAAGACCACTTATATATTATACTTACTAAGTAATAAAAAGAATAAATTACTGGAGCTGCACATTCAGAACAATAGCACCATCTAAGGGCCATTTACATTATTGCAGCTTTGCCGTTTATGACAAACTTAAAATTACTTTTTCTTGACAAAATTAAATTAACTGAGGTGTTTTGCAAAAATGATCTGAGCACAAAACTTTATACAGAAAATAATTTAAAATCCCTAATACAAGCACATGCAAGATACGGCCTGCCAAGCTGCTGGATCTGGGACCCTCAGGCACAGAGCAGCCAGCTGCTTCAGAGCAGCCCCATGCTGCTTTAAGCGACTGAGTGCTCCCTATGGCTCTCTGCTCTGGGTGCTGGGGGGAGAGGGGAGCTTTGTAGAAACCAGCCAGTGGGAGCTGAGAGATTTTGCTGGAGATGGTGGCAGCACTTGAACCTCCCCCACCTGGTGCCTGGAGCAGAGCCACAGGGAACAGCCAGCCATTTTGAGCAGTCTGGGGCTACAGCTGGCACTGAGCCTGCCCCAGGGTCCTGCAGGACTGCTGGCTGGGAGACGCCTAGTTAAGAACTTCCCATACACAGCCTGCATCTGGCATCCTAGCTTTTCCCTCTTCCCAAATCACCACCCACTCTTGCCCCCATGTCACCATGAGGGTTGCCAGGTGTCCGGTTTTGAACCAGACAATCCGGTATTTGAGGGTTCTGTCTGGGAAACAAATTGAGAAAATACCAGACATATAAAATGTCAAGTATTTTCTCATTGGTAAGTTTTTTTTTTTTATTATTAGGAGTATCAGTATGTAGCTGTGTACTGCCTGGCTGGTAGTCACGCTCATGCTGCACGAGTGTGTCTACCAGCCAGGCAATATGCAAAGAACCAGACAATCCGGTATTTGAGGGTTCTGTCTGGGAAACAAATTGAGAAAATACCAGACATATAAAATGTCAAGTATTTTCTCATTGGTAAGTTTTTTTTTTTTATTATTAGGAGTATCAGTATGTAGCTGTGTACTGCCTGGCTGGTAGTCACGCTCATGCTGCACGAGTGTGTCTACCAGCCAGGCAATATGCAAATGG